CGGCCCGGGCACCGACCGGGGGTCCCGTCCCCTCAGGGCCAAGCACAGAGGCCATGTCACCCCCTCAGCCCGGGCACCGCCGAACTCCCCCAGCCTCCCCCAGCGCCCTGTGGCCGTGCCACCGGGCCCGGCTCCCGGGACGGGGGGCCCTTTGCAGGTGTCAGGCCTCCGGCAGCGCTTTTTGGGAATGTTTCCCTTAACCCCGTGGTTTTAACACGGCAGCCCCCGTCGTCCTGCGCGATCACCCCAGCAAGCCCGGGGCTGGAGGGCGGCTTTCCCCGGCGCCCCTCAGCTGCACGGGGCCGCCGCCTCGGCCCTCTGCCCTGCAGCCCCCACGCAGGAGCGTCCAGCAGGTCCCCGGCCTCGTCGGGGGGCTTCGGGGCTACGCCGAGCTGGTGCAGGCGGTCCCCTCCCACCAAGGGACTGCTACGTGTCAGTGGGTAAAAAAGAAAACAAAAATTTATTGTGCAATCTGCATTTTTTGTCCCAAACTACATACACACCCTAGACAACATAAATAGAGGGACTGGACCAGCAGTGAGGTTCCCTTGTGATCGGCAGGGTTGGAAGACGCTGGTTCCTCAAAGAGGGGCTACAAGCCCTTGTTTCCATCAACATATACAATGCAGTGTAGGTCTAGACAGCATACACACATATATATATATATATACTCATATAGATTTCCGTTTGTGGGGTGGCATCGGCCGTGCACAGCATCATCACATTATACACAGGGCGCGTTACACCTCAGCACCGGCCGCCAGCCGGCCAGGGGCCCTGCACCGCTCTGGCGTCTCCTTGGCTCTGGCGCGGGGCCTCCCGAGCGCTGCAGAGCCCCGGCACCCGCCACGCCGACGGGCAAGGAGGCCCGGGGGCTGCTCCCAGGGCAAAGGGAGCGCTCAGGCCCGCCGCCTCCTTCCTTCAGCAGCACCACAACGCGGTGGAAGACATTTCTTCAGCCCAACTGGCCTGCGTGGCCCAGGAGCAGCTGCAAGCAGAGGTGCCCCACCCATGAGCCCCTAGCCTCCTCCAGCCCAAAGCTGGTCTTTGGAGCCTCTCCTCTCAACACCACCTTTGCGGTGAGGATGCACGTAAAAGCTCTAAGCAAAGTGCCATCTTGCAGCTGCTTCCGTGCACCGGCCCAGGGGTCCACAGGCTGGCTAACCTCTCCTGTAATTCATGAGGAAACAATCATAGAGCAGTATCAGAGGACCACGTGGCTTCTTGTGTCCCAGTCTCGTGAAGACGTCACCGTCCCAGGAAATAATGGAGAGCGGTGGCACTGGCTCACATGGAGTGGGCTGCCTGCCTGGGCAGGTCCGTCTGGTCCGTGGTGGCTGGGGCGAGACCAGGAAACAAGTGGAAGCTGGAGGGGGGTCTCACGGGGAGCTCGACGCCCGCCAGAGCCCACTGGCCAGCAGCCGTGTGGCCCCAGGCATCCAGCCCTGCTCCCTGCCAGAGCCCATGCCATGAGTGGGTCTTCTGCAGCTGGGGCTCTACTGCAAAGAGAGATGGCACTGAGAGGACTAACGCCAAGGGGTTGGCACCTGGAGAAGGCCTTGGGGGCATCTGCCATCCTGGCTCCCACGCATTGGGCACGAGGGCTGGGTGAACCTGCTGGCACACCGGGACGGGGTATCTCAGCGAGCACATGATGTAAGCTGGGACATGCTCCAGGCTGGGGCAGCCAGCCCAGATGTGGGGAACCATGGGGGACACTTGGCCCGGCACAGCTGACCAGGTTGGGGGCAGGCTGGCATTTCTGCACCCATCCATGCACGAGGACTCAGGCTGCTGAGCAAGCCCACCCTCGGTCCCCAGCTCAGCGTGGCCCCTGGCTGCAGACAGGACGGTGGCACCTTGGCAGGATGGGAGCTTTGCAATGATGGGTGAATGGGCCCGGGATGGGGCTGCAGAAGCCATGGCAGGACAGGCTGTGCCCCTCCTGGGAATCTGGGGAGAAATGGGGTGTCATGGCTCCCCACACCCCACGCTGGGGTAAGCAATGGCTCCTGCCACGCTGGGGTTCCCCCCTTTCCAAAATAATGACCCCAAAAATGGCAAGTGGCAGTGAGAGATGTGTTTGGGAGAGCCAGCCCCCACAGTGCCCCCATCACAGCTCCCCCACTGCTACTCGAAGGACAGCAGGTCGGGATGAGGCCCCTCCACCTCCCGGCCAGGGGTGCATGGCTCTGGCCTCCCTGTGCTCCCCGGCGGCTCGTGCTCCAGCCCTGGTCTCCGGGAGGGCTTCTCTGTGCAGGCTGAGGTCTCAGTAGCCCTCTCGCCCGCTCGCCACTGGCTCTCCAGGCTGCCCTTATGGATGAGGTCGGGCACGGGGAGGGCAGTGGTGGGCTGCTCCCCACTCGGCTCTGGGGTGCCAGTCATGCTGGGGACCCCAGGGCATTCTGGAGGGGATGGGTCCCTGGTCCCTGGCCACTCCTCTGTGGGGTCGGGGTGGGCTGCGGGCAGTTCGGGGGGCTCCTCCGTGCTGCTCCTTGGGCTGGTCCCTCCCGGCTGCGGCGCAATGAGCATGTCCTGCGGGGTCTTCAGGGCACGTGGCGTCCGCTTCTTGGTGACAGGGGGCGGGGGGTCCAGCCGGGGGAAGGTGTCCAGCCCCACAGCCCTGCAAGCACAGAGGAGCAGTGACATGCAGCCCCATGCCAGGGCCCCTCCAGCCTGTCCCCATGGCCCCGCCGCAGGGTGCATGCCACAGAGACACTCACCCGTCCTCGCTGGCTGGCTGTCCTGTGCCCAGCATGGCCCCGGCGCTGGCGTTCACCTCCATCACCCCCACGCTGGGGAGGCCGGCCGGCTCCTTGCGGCGCAGGAGGTCGTTCACCTTCGCCCCCACGGCCTTGCCCAGGTTGCGGAGGTGCTGGCTGCCGGCGGGGCGGGAGGGCTGGGGGGGGGCCCCCCGCCACAGCAGAGACGTGCTGTGGCCGTGGGGTGGGTGCTGTGCTGGCACTGGCGTTCTCAAACATGCTCTGGTCCACTGGAGGGGGAAAGGGAACAGAGAGGGGGTGTGAGCCGGGCTGAAGGAGGGACCCTGGCAGGGATAGCATGTCCCAGAGCTGCCCACCAGCTCCCAACCCAGCAGCATGGGGGACACAATTTGGGGGACAGGGAGGCTGCTCCTGCATCCCTGCAGAGGCTGTGGGCAGCCGGGCCATGCCAGGGCTGCACAGGGCAGTGCATGCAGCAGGGACAGCATGGGGCGAGACAGGGTAGCAGCGAGCCCAGGGCTCCACGCTGGCGCAGCCAACACACCGAGAGCTTCTCTTACCTGACACCGAGCGACTTGGGAAGCAGGTTGTGGAAAGAAAGAGAGAGAGAGAGAGAGGATTTACCAAGGGAATGGCAAGGGGAGAGTGGGCCTGTCCCTTCCACGCTGCTGGGCGAGGCACACTGCCAACCCCCTGCCCAGACCTGCCACACTGCCCATGGAGATGGGACTTACGTGGGGCCCCTATCAGCCAGGCACCCGTGGAGCAGCGGGGGTTCTCCGGGGGCACCCCCAGCCTGGGCTCTGCGCTGCCCACCCCAGCAAGGCTCCCTCTCCAGCCCAGGCTGGCTGTTCCCTTGCACTGGCCAAGCTCCCCAGAGACCCTGGGGGCCGAGCCCACTGCCCAGGAGCATCCTGCTGTGCACTGTACACACGTGCGACATCAGCCCTTTGTGACGTCAGCCGATGACGGCACTGGTATCATGGCGCAGGAGCCACACACCGGCTACGCGAGGGTGATGGAGAGCTTCGTCCTTCCCACTGTCTCCATTGGGGCTGTGCCCCGTGGCACCAGGACAAGAAGCCCAGAGGCCCCATGCCGCTGGGGCCCTGCCAGCCTGCCTGGTGAGCCTGGTGCCTGCCAGCTGCGGCCAGGCAGGGGGTGCAGGCAGCCGGCACTGCCTGTGGGGAGGGCTCCCCCTTGTACCTCCTGGGCATGGCCGCGGCACCGCTCAGCCTCCTGCGGCACAGTGAGGGCCTGCAGGCAGACAGGCTGTGGAGGGGTTTAGCTGGGCATATCCTCCTGCATGGGTGGGAAAAGGGGACTGGGAGCACCCATGGCAGTGGGTGCTTTCTGGGGACCTGGGGGGGTCCTGCAGTCATACCCCACCTCTGAGCTACACCAGTTTCTCCCCCATGTCTTCCCCAC